AGCAAAACTTTTTATGCACTCCATGATTTTTTCTCATATTGCATATTATCTTGCTAGTTGGTCACACGCTAGTAAAACAGTTAAATCACTTTATAAACAAGCACTTAAAGTATTTGATCAGAAGTTTATCAGGTATCATCACTGTAATATAATATAAAAAAAAAATTAATTAAACTTTGATAATATTTGGCTGTTGCTTGTATGATTTTAAAATTTTAAATGGATATGCTCCACCTCCATTTTGTAACACACAGAAACAATAATGGTCAAGCAACACGGATCTGTTACCAGGGGAGACTGTGCTGTGCAGTTTAGACGTACAACTTTTGCACGATCAGTCTTCTCAGTTAGAGCCAGTCATTTTTGGAACACACTTCCGATTGACTTAAGGGGTGTTACAAATTATTCAACTTTTATATACAACTTAAAGACATGGCTAAAAGCAAATCAAGTTTGTAATCATGTGTAATTCTTTTGTCTAGCATTTTAAGTAATTCTTTTTACATGTTTTAATCCCTTTGTCCTATGTAGCTTGACTGTTTTTGTATGTGTGATGGTGTGTTTTTTTGATTTTAGGTTGCCTTTTAAAATCTGGCAGGGGGCAACAGATGAAAATTAGCCTTGTGGCTAACTCTGGCTTATTTACAGTTTTACTGTTTATTAATGAGCATTGTCCCTGTTGAATAAAATAAATTCAAATTCAGAAGCTGTCACTGGGGTGGTACCTGTTCAAAAGGTACAAATTTGTACCTACTCTGTAAAAAAAATAAAAATAAAAAAAACCCTGTAAAAAAACAGTAATTTTCTGGCAGCAGGGGTGAAAAATTACGGGGGAAAAAAACTCAGAATAAAAAATGTAGATAATCTGTAAAAAAAAAAAAATTTATTTTTCCATAATTACAAGTTACTATGTTATTTTACAAATTTGAACGGTAATTGTACAGGTTATTACTGCCATTTTACTAATATTTACTGCAATTACAATTACAAATTATTACTGTAATTATATAATTAATTAATGTAATTATACAGTTATTTAATGTGATTATAACGATTATTACTGCAATTCTACAGGTTATTACTGTAATTATACAGATATATAATGTGATTATAAGGATAATTACTATAATTATGCATGCTATTATTGTAATTATAAAGATTAATTTATGTAATTATGCATGAAATCTCTAAATGTTCCATGAAATTCTAGTTTTTTAACATTTTAAAGCTGTGTGTGTGTATATATATATATATATATATATATATATATATATATATATATATATATATATATATATATATATATATATATATATATAACTATAAACTATATTATAGTTTAACAAATATTTTAGGGATATGTTGGTTAAACTCCAAAACTATTTTCTTTAAAAAAAAAAAAAATCTGTTATCTATCAATTTTTTTTTTTCTTTTTTTACAAATAACACATTTGCTCATCGTTTAACAACAAAAACAAGGTTAGTGTCATGTGAGGACGCCTGCACAACAAAGTTGAGGATCAAATAGCAGTTTATTTAGAGAATCATCTTGCAACTAAAGGTTAAAACATGAACAGACAGGTGCATACAGATAATCTCAAGCGTAAAGAGGGCAAACAAAATTACAAAGTAAAGGGGTCAAACGTGGTAAGGTAAGGGAAATCACGTCGTAATGCTCACTAAACAGTTTAAGACTCAGAAATGATGTGTCTGTGTGTGCTGAGTTTATAGTCCTTAAAATCTGTTCGTAACGATCTTCTGACTGTGCGTGTTATCAGTCAGAATTAGGAACACAGGTGTGTGAGGTGCATCCTGGGAGTTGTAGTTTGTTAAAATAACGTGTGTAGTTTTCCAGCGACCCTCAGCCGCTAGATCACTGGTGATCACCACAGCTCGCATAGCAACATTGTTAGAGTAGTAAAATAAACTTTTTATAGTTTACAGTGCATGCATGTTATGCAGCCTACAAACAATAGGCTATTATTTCACTTTATTAACCTCATGTTAATCTTCATATGTTTACTATCTTCACTAAAAACAATTTGACTGATTTCCCCCCTATTTTTAAAGGAATAATCTGTAAATATTTACGTAAAATTACGTGTTACTCTCTATACATAAAATTTCCTTTAAAAAGTAGAACAATATAATACCAAATTACAAGCAAGAACTGTAAATTTAATGTTAGAATTTTTTTATTACAGAACATATCTGTAAAACATAGCTCCAAAATTTCACAGTATAATGGAAAAATACAGACAATTACCTGTAAAATAACATTTACTTTTTACAGTGTACAAGGTCCATATTAATACCTTAAGGGTACATATTAGTACTTAAAAAGAACAAAAGTGTTCCTCTTAAAATTTTTAGGTATCAGTATATACTTTTGAGGTACCAATATGGACCCTGGAAGTACAAATGTGTACCTTTTGAAAAGGTACTGTGGAAATATACATTTTTATCATCTAATTTCAAATTAACAATAATCTACGTATAACTGAAAAGTTATATTCTTTGGTTTTTAATTATATAATTTCATTAACATCCCAGCTAGGAGGGACATTTAACCTTTATCTCTCTGACTACAGGCTAAGCCAATGTAATGCAAATTGTCAGTTTCACAGCATGGGGTGTCTATTGTTTTCTCTTTTCGATCAAATGGTCAGGCGGTTTCTGTCTCCAGAACATGATGAGATTAGACCTGAGAAGCAGTTTACCCTGCCGACCACAACCCTTAATTTGCATGCTTTGTTTAGCTATATCCCCTCCTCCTAAGAACACAATATAGCCATGAAATCTTTGTCTTAATTCAGACTAATTCAGACTTGTGTGAGACTTGTGAGAGACTTGTGAAAGAACTTGCAGACTGCGGACCTCTAGTAGGCTCTTGCAGACACATCTTAAAGACGCTGTATGACTGCAGATTAACCAACACGTCTCAATAAAGGAATTCTGCTTGTTTCGAGTCTCCTGGACTGGGTTCTCTCTTCTTTTCACTCATTCATTTATTTTTTTACAACAGTATGTATACTGTTTTCGGGTCCAAGCCGCCATTCATTTGAGTTGAGGAATCATTCGTTTATGATCACTTTTTATTCATATCACAAATTAAAGTTAATTTTATATAAAATCGTAGTGTACACAACAATCTCTGGGCTTGCTGCTTAACAAATACCAAAAATTTAACAATTTATAAAAAAATAATCACTTTCTGGCCATCGGATATTAGGCATGGACATATATACTGCGATCGGGATTTTCGAAAGCATTAAATCGCTTTGTAAACGTTTATTATTACCATTTCATGAGTCTCCCCATTCAGTTGAATAGAGCGATTGGACCCGAAAGCTGCTTCGCGTGACGTCACACTCAACAAGCGGATACTCACTACTCTTGAGTACTCATACTTTGAGTAATATTTACAATAGATAGTTTTACTCGCACTACATTTTTAGGCAAGTAATGGTTCTTTTACTTGAGTATGATTTTACAGTACTCTTTTCACCACTGGTTGAGTGTAGTCAATTTCCAAATATTATTAATCAATTAAAAACATTTTGGGGCAGCATGGTGGCTCAGTGGTTAGCACTTTCACCTCACAGCAAGAAGGTCGATGGTTCGAGTCCCAGCTGGGTCAGTTGGCATTTCTGTGTGGAGTTTGTATGTTCTCCCCATGTTGGCGTGGGTTTCCTCTGGGTGCTTCGGTTTCCCCCAGAGTCCAAAACATGCGCTATAGGTGAATTGAAGAAACTAGTGTGTGTGTGTGTGAATTAGTGTGTATGGTGTTTCCCAGCACTGGGCTGTGGCTGGAAAAGCATCCGCTGAGTAAAACGTATGCTGGAATAGTTAGAGGTTCATTCCGCTGTGGCGACCTCTAAAATAGAGACTGAATGAATTAATCAAAAAATATTTTTTTAAATCACAGACGTTTTCAATGTTGAATTCAGAACAATGTTCAAAACATAAGCTGTCACAAACAACGGTCAAACTTTTCAATATTTCGTTCAGTAACCATCACAATTTCTCAGTTAAACATCGCTATGCCAATGTGTGACATATCAAGGTTTCATTTCCCACACTCACAAATGAAAAGTGTATTTTTATTGTTATTATTTTTTGATGAGGTTGCCACTGAAGTCTATACTTGGGCCAACTAAAAAAGGACATGGACTTAAACTGATATACGTTTCAAAGGTTAAAGGTCACTGCCATTTTGATGACCTCTCACACTTGACGCAAAAGTATGTGATTTATCTGACACTGCTACTTTTAGAACAAGGAGCTTCAGGACACTTTTACATCAAGTTTCACATTTGACATCAGGCTTTCTGGGTGAAAATATACATGATTGGCATGACTGGTTAAAGGTTTCTTTATTGGACACTGGACTCTATTCACCTTATTCTCAGCTGACGAGCGGGCGCTGCCATTTAAACCTTTTTGTCTCGCGACTTCCGGTCACATTCACTTCCATTCATTTTTTGACGTTAACAACTGCTCGTTACGCTGCTTGATGTTGCAATTTAATATTTTCTTATTATATTATGCTACTTGGTCTGTGTAGTCATGCAAACATTTGTTTGTTGAGCAAGTAGTTTGGCCATTTTCTGCCGTTTATTATTCCTTGTCATTTCTCCCATAGGCGACTGAATCGGAAGTTCTAAGACAATCGCGAAAACAGGCACACTTCCGCATTTTAGAATAAGGTCAATACGTCTCCCATTAATTTCCCACAAAGTCTTGGTGGAACTGCTTACAGGAGTGAATCTTTATTGCAGTGAATCCAGAGTCTTGAGTCCTCGTCCCTATAGAAAAATGACATCATGGCCTGAGATGATCGTTTTGATTTAGTTCCTCTCGTTTCTCTCTTGATTTACCCCTCACACTTCCTTTCACAGTCTATCCTTACTTACCCTTAGCCTTTTTATGAAGGCAGTCTGGTGGACTCCCTGCAGTTTAATCGTCTGTTTTTCTCCTTTTTTTTTTCTTCTATTCAGGGTCCGCTTGGTCTGGATGGCAAACCCGTGAGTATTTCCCAACATGAGGATGTGCGGTGTGCGTGCATGTGTGTGTGTGTGCGCGTGTATATGTGTGTAAATGGTGTGTGAATTATAATGTTAAATACATCTGTTAAATACACTATGGTCATGTTTTCTTATCTATTTTGCATTTTTGTGAGTTTATTTATATTATATACAGTACAAAAAAACTTGTTTTTTTCTACACTCACTGGCCGTTTTATTAGGTACACCTGTCCAACTGCTCGTTACCGCATATTTCTAATCAGCCAATCACATGGCAGCTGCTCGATGCAATTAGGCATGTAGACATGATCAAGACGATCTGCTGCAGTTCAAATCGAGCATCAGAATGGGGAGGAAAGCTGATTTAAGTGACTTTGAATGTGGCATGGTTGTTGGTTCCAGACAAGCTGGTCTGAGTAATTCAGAAACTGCTGATCTACTGGGATTTTCATGCACAACCTTCTCCAGACTTTTCATAGAGTGGCTAGAAAAGGAGAAAATATCCAGTGAATGACAGTTCTGTGGGTGTAAATGTCTTGTTGGTGTCAGAGCAGAATGGCCATACTAGTTTGAGCTGATAGAAAGGCAACAGTAACTCAAATAAGCACTGGTTACAACCAAGGTATACAGAAGAGCTTCTCTGAACACACCAAAGCACCATGTCATAAAGCGAGAATATTCTCAGACTGGTTTATTGATCGTGACAATGTACTCAAATGGCCTCCACAGTACACAGATCTCAATCCAATAGCGCACCTTTGGGATGTGGTGGAACGGGAGATTCGCATCATGGATGTGCAGCCGACAAATCTGCAGCAACTGCATGAAGCTATCATGTCAATATGGAGCAAAATCTCTGAAGACTATTTTCAGTTCCTTGTTGAATCTATACCACAAAGGATTAAGGCAGTTCTGAAGGCAAAAGAAGGTCCAACCCGGTACTAGTAAGGTGTACCTAATAAAGTGGCCAGTGAGTATGGTCCAAATAATTAAAAAATCTTAAATCAAGAAGTGCTTATAATAAATGCAAATTTTTTTTTCTTTAAAATAAGCAAATTAACATTGTTTTTATTTTGAATTAATATTCTTTTGGTTAACCCATTGGAAGATAATTTTTTTTAATGATGTTTACAGTGTATTTTTTATAAATAATAATATAATATGTTATTACTGTTTTGCTACTTTATTCTGTTGTTTGCCATTTTTTTTTGTTGCGGGTTTACTAGTTTTTGCTTTGAAATAAGATTATTTTGTTCGTTTTAAGAAAAAAAAGTCACTCAATTTTGACTTATTATTTCTGAAAACGAGACAATATTTTGTATTTGTCCAGAAAACGCTTCTTAACTTAAGAAGTTTTAGATATTTAAAAAGAAACAAGACAAAAACTCCCAAGTATGAAAAGCATTTTTATGTTTATTTTTTAAAACATTAATAATATAATACAGTTTTGGTCTCTCTGTCATTAGTTTTACTACTTTAATCTGTATTTCACTATTCCTTTTGTTACACTTACTGTGACTTATCAAACACAATCAAAATTACTAATGTTAATTATAGGATATGAAACACCACGACAATTGGAAAACAAAATAACACACAAAACTATATAGTTGTTTAATTCTAAAGTTTTTCTTTTCTTGGATAATCACAATCGCAATGTAACTTTGACCACTGAACTAGAAATGTTTCGCCTGATCATCTTGATCAAGGCATATTTGTAAACTCATTTTGACCAGAATTGTTGTTGATAATTGATTGATTTATTTACAGGGTGCTCCTGGACCTAAAGGAAGCCAGGTAAACACATTTTAAAGTCTGTAGTGCTTTGTGAAAACAGAAATATTTTGTTGTAATTCTGTTTCATACACGTGAAGTGTGTAAATGCTGCGCAAATGAGGAATCATGGTTTATTTTTGCTCTGACATCAGGGGGATTAAACTCCTGGATAGGTTTTCAGGTCATTTATCACCTCGCCTATAGGGTCACACGCCATGTTAACATGTATGTCTATCCACAAATGAGATGGAAATAATGGATTACACACCAAAAAAGAGAGAATTCATCATCGTTGGGGAGATTGGCAGTCGTTTGTAAAGCCATTCAGGCTCTTTAACGCTGCCGGGGGAAGCCCATTTGTCCAATGTAATGTAAACCCCTTCTTCAGACCACCTCCAAATGCCATCCGTCTGCTCAAAGCTTGCTGTTTTGTGTTGATGAGCTTTTGAAATTACTTTAAATGTGACACATAGATGTTCTTTTGATGATAGTATGAAGAGCAGAAATCATATTTTTAAGTCCACTTATTTGCATAGAAGACAATGTGAGTGATTTCAGTATAATGTTGATTCCAAAAGATGTATATTTTAGTGATGGGAAGTTCGGATCATTTTACTGACTCGGATCTTTGAGTCTCGTTCATCGAGATGAACGAATCCTTTTTCGAGTCATTTCGTTCATTTGGTTCAATTTGCCAAAATATTATTAAAATGTTACGAATTGCTTCCAAACACATCTACAACCAGCCCAAAAGGTTGATCACACGACAAATAAGTCATAAATAGAATACTATAAGAAGGAGAAAATAATAATTGAATGTTTACCTGCTCTTTTGTCTATGAAGATATTGTTGTCTCTTTGCTCAGCTCAGCTCTTCATGTCTTCAAATGTCAGTGGTTCGTTCACGTTATATTCACATATAATCTTAACCAATGTACACACAGTCTGAGCCGATAGGAGCCATGATAATTAGTTCACCTTTCGAGTCTTCTGGTTCTTGAGTCGTTCGTTCATCACTTGACAGAATGACTCAAACCCGAGGACTCGAGAGATGAACGGATCAATTCTTTTTCTGGCTCTAAACGCATATGATTGGCCCATGATGAACGAATGACTCAAACCCGATAGAGGACTCGAGAGATGAACGGATCAATTCTTTTTCCAGCTCTAAACGCATATGATTGGTCAGTGAGGAACGAATGACTCAAACCCGATAGAGGACTCGAGAGATGAACGGATCAATTCTTTTTCCAGCTCTAAACGCATATGATTGGTCAGTGAGGAACGAATGACTCAAACCCGATAGAGGACTCGAGAGATGAACGGATCAATTCTTTTTCTGGCCCTAAACGCATATGATTGGCCCATGATGAACGAATGACTCAGACCCGATAGAGGACTCGAGAGATGAATGAATCAATTCTTTTTCTGGCCCTAAACGCATATGATTGGCCCATGATGAACGAATGACTCAAATCCGATAGAGGACTCGAGAGGTGAACGGATCAATTATTTTTTCGCTCTAAACGCATATGATTGGCTTCTGCTTTTCCTCGATGAACGACTTAAAAGACTTGAAATGAACAATACCACCTGCACAAACAAATGAACGAATCACTCCCTGAGAAGAAGTAGTTCCCGAGTCGTATTGAAGATTTGTTCAAAATGAACGAATCATTCATGAACGACCCATCACTAGTATATTTAAAGTCAATTTTCAAACTTAATTCATTTAAGTAATGTATGTACTTGCTATAGTTGCTATTGAGTTTTTAAACAAAGTATAACACAATTTTGTGTAGGTTTAATGCTTTAAAGATCACATTTTTACACAAGTCACATATATTTTTATTTTATTTAGGTGTATATACTTAGCTTTTTTTTACAACTAAAGCAAGTACATACATTACATAAAATGTATTTATTTATTAGTTTCTTTGGCATTTCTGCAAATGTACCAGAATTAGCCATCTGTTGTCCCTGAACAACCTAAAAAAAACAATATAAGAATTATACAATCAATCAAACATCGTTAGAAAGTACTAAAATATACATAGTTATGTAGATCTTAATAAAAATGAATACATACAAATTAAACTAAAACACCAACATTTTGTAATAAAGATAAAAATAGTTGAAACACATTTAAACAACAAATAATTAAGATGGTAGGCACAAATGGAAACATGCTAGGTTCATTCTAATAGGAATGATGACATTTCTAATCCTCTGTAAACCCGTTTTTAAATGTTTTTTTGAACATAATAAAGGCGGTTGAACATATTAAAGGCAGTTATATTTCTGATGCATTAATGAATTAAATTGAAAATGAATTAAGTTTGAAAAATGACTTTAAATATACATTTTTTGTTATCAACATCACACTGAAATCACTTGCAAAAGTGCAAAGTTTTCTGGGGGGTAGATTTTAAAACAAAAACAATCTATTCCTACACAACATATGATTATAATAATATCCTTTTAACACCCATTTTTCTTTCATTTCTCCCAAAACCAAGATGTTTTAGACATTGGAAGCCTTGTCAGTTCATAAGGTCATTGTTAAAAAGGTCATGTGAACAACCTCATTAAAACTAAAGAGGAATAGGGAGTAGGACTTAAAGTGTAAGCTTTCAGTCAACTCATTCTTTTATCCTCAGTCAGTTTTACAGTACGTCTTTCAATTTCGCAGACGTTTGACCATGTCATTCGCAAATGACTTTTAAGATCAAAGATCGCATCTATATCTAGTGCAGATGTGAGGTGCTTTCTGTATTTTCATTTGAAGCAGAAAAAAGGCAAAACTTTGAAGATGAGGAAAGTCAGAGACACTAATGACTCTTAGCGAATGAATTATGGTTCACATGAGTTTCTCGATATGTTTTTGAAGTGCACTGTGTTTTTCCCTTATACTTTTTGTCTTGTCAATTTGTCACTTTTGGACAATCTGTCTAATCATCGATTCCAACTCTTTTATTTCCAGGGGCTGCCGGGACTAAAAGGAGATAAGGTATACCTTTAATATATATTTTTTGCGATATCTCTCTCTCTCTCTCTCTCTCTCTCTCTCTCTCTCTCTCTCTATATATATATATATATATATATATATATATATATATATATATATATATATATATATATATATATATATATATATTAGTGCAGTCAATTGATAAAAAAAACTAATTACGAAAGAAGCATCAAGGTACATCAAAGGCATCCACAGGTACGCACTGTGTCAAACCAAAGACTAATTTTCACAGGGACTTTGGTCAACTTTGAGAGATACAGACAACAGCGTTTAGGCTTTTGTTCTTGTTGCTAGGAAACGCGCGCACGCACACACAACGCGCGCAGGAGAGGGCAGCCGGAGCGACTCCCTTCAGATTCAACACGCCATATATGGCTATAATTCACAAGGATTCTGACACAGCAACATAAAACAGATGCTTTACAAAAGTTGCGTTTATGGGGGAAACATGTCAATGTTCAATGAGTATATTTACATGGACACCAATACTCCGATTTAATATGATTAAGATAATACTCTTATTAAGAGTCTAACGTGTAAACAGTGACTTTTGATTACCTTAAAGGACCGCCAAGTCACAAAATGCAGAGATTTTTCTTTCCGTACAGCATGTGGTATCAAATTCCATTAAAACAAAAGTCGAAAGATTAAAAATACGAAACATACCTAATTAGATTAAACTCTGGGGGAAACGCTGGAGAGCCTGGTGATGCGACATTAGTTGTTTTATACTGAAACTTTCCTTTAAAAATGCTTCCTTGGTCTTATCCATGTTTCTTTGCGCGTTACACACATGTCTACCACAACAGGAAAAAAAAATGCAACTGTGTTAATTGCGTCATTTTTTTTAACGCGTTAAATATTTCAAATTAATCGCATGCATTAACGCGATAATTTTGACAGCACTAATACCACATTAAAATTTACACTGGTAGCAAAATCTGATGGGTAGCATATTACATCATCAAAAAGTGCTACCTTTTGAATAGGAGGTAGGACAATCTGACAAGGTAGGACAAATCGACAGAACACTGGAAATGACCAAGCTTTCTCCCAAATGATAATAAGACAATGTATAAGAGACATTATTGTGGGAAAAATATTTCTCAGCTTTTTTCGACATTTGTCAATAACTTTAAGTCAGAATGTGTCAGGGGTAAGAATAATTTCTGGCTTATATAGTACTGTGCACTTACTGTGCAAATTACACTTGTTGTTTTAGTGAGGGTGTAATGACATTATATAGTACTTCTCATTCTCTTTATTAAAATAAAACCAGAAAATACAGGTTATAGTTGTGTTTTTTGGGGGGTCTAATTTTTCAAGACATGAAAAAAAGAGTTAGAGAAAGATGAAAGAATGAATGAAAAATACTGGAGTTTCTGTCTTTGTTTGATCAGCAATTCTAACGAAGCTGTTGTCAATATTGCCTGAATTGATGGGATTATGAATGCTAAAAAGTACAGACAGGTTTTAATTTGTGATGTAGTTCCTGCTAGAAAGCACCTAATTTCTAACAGTTTTATTTTTCAGCATGAAAATGATCCCAAACACACTGCTAATTGCCCCTTTTACACAGTAATATTGGTAAATATCTGGAACGACTTTACCAAGAAATTCAAAAAAGTGCTGTTCACACTGGCAAGGACATTACAGAATTTTTCCGGAAAGGACCATACACATATCCATTCCAAAATACTGACAAATTCTGACATCATTAACCAGAAATGGTCTCTAAATGGCTGCACTTGCATTTGTAAAAGGGTCGAGCTTTTGTTGATGGTTTCACTTTTATTTAAAGCTTTAGCATTCATGCAGCTGCTTTACCCTAGAAACATCTATAAGCAGAAGCGCGAATTGCGACTAAATGTTTACACATTTAACTACATTACAAACTCTGTGGACATAGAAACGTTATCTGACTTATATATAGCAGTTAAATGTGTCTGAAAAAAATTCAAAGGTATTTATTTTCATAAACAGCGAGGATGTGAATGTGTCTGAGTGTTCTGACTGGCTGGAGTAGATGTCTCACGTCAACATCGTTAATTTTCCTTCGGCATTCACACAAAGCAGCACTCGGGCAAATTACCGGTAATGTTTCAACTTCTCTTTCCGAAAAATTGCCGGAAGGAATTTACCGTTTTTTTCAAAAAGGGCCTGTTCCCCCATGATCCCTTTGTGTAAAATTGCCAGTAATTTTCCGGAAAGATCTGTATGTGTAAAAGGGGCTAATGAAATCATGTTTGGAGAAAAAAAACAGCTGATGAAACAAAGACAGTCATGAAATGGCCTCCACAGAGTCCAGACCTGAATATTATGTAGAGCATTTATAGACAATATTACAAACAGAATCACCTGGAGAGAATAAGAAAGATAGAACGTACTAAATCTAAGGAAGGACTGTGAGAAATACTTAATAATAAATAGCACATCATTACAGTGAAGACTTAAATAGCACATCATTACAGTGAAAACAGAAAAGGTCAAGCTGTTATTTGGTGCTAAAGAGGTCACGTTGAACACAATTTTGATATTAGCCTTTTGGTCCCTAAAGTAATTCTGTTCTGAATATTGTGGACATATTTGCCATATTTTCTGTGTGTATATTAAAGGTATAGTTCACCCAAAATGAATGACCCCGCACTTGTTCCATACCTTTTAGATAGATAGATTTGTACAAAAGTCTTAGCCTCCCAAAGCTGGTGTTTATGCCTCACAAACACAAAGGACGGTTTGGTTCTGTTTCTGATCTCAGCTTCCCATCAAGCAGATGTTTTGCGATTTTTAAAACAACTCACAAATTTCATTAGCATTGGCTTTTGTCTTCGAACACATGTTTTGGAGGGGATGTAGACCGTGTCAGGCATCAAATTAGAGGAGGGAGAAACCTGTGGTGAATGAAGACCGGCTTGAAATCTTTTCCTGATTGCAAAAAAGCACAACAAAACAAAAACTTGGAGCCTCGGGACGCTTTTTCTCCCAGATCCGTGTTCCTTGTTTATAGTAATTAGTAAACAGAGTTATGCTCATTCTCTGCCCTCATTTCAATGACCTGCTCTCTTGTTTTGTTACTTTAAATAGATGTTTCGCTCTGCGTCACTTTTTCACTTCCAATGCGAATAGACAAATTGCTACTGTAGCTAAAACCTGCTGTCGTTAATTGCATTTCTACTCATTTCTGTGTGTTTTAGGGTGACCAAGGAGACACCGGACCAAGGGTCAGTACTTGATTTCTTCTGTCATTTATACTACAGATGTTTACAGTCATGATCCATGATAAATTAGGATTGAACTGTGTGGGACAGAGGGCTGAAATCTGAAATATATACAATATTCTCTCTCTTTCTCATGTTCTCTTTAACCTCCTTGTGATTTTTGTCACATAAATCCAAATAGTACAACTGTATAATATGCCATAATATGGAATATGGAATATTTTGACATTATTAGCATAATTATGCCTATAATATATATATATATATATATATATATATATATATATATATATATATATGGTGTACATCCAATTTCAAATAATTGTGTCTGCATTAATTTTGGCTTTGAATATGATTTAAAATAAGTGTTTAGACCATATATATTACCATTATTTATATTAGTAAATACTATGGTGTTTTTTTTTTAACTATACTATAGTGAATAACTGAAATCAATATGTTGTGCTAATTCTATAGTTCCTATAGTAATACAAAAATTATAGTTACATAAATAAATGACTCAATACTGTAGTTGTCTGAAAACTTAGGGTAAAATATACCACAATACACCACAGTTTACTGTAGTAAAAGGTAAAGTATGCTACAGTATTTGTTACAGTATTAATTTACTTAGTACTCTACAATATGTAGTAGCCTACTACTGCTTATACAGTAATATTATATATGCAGTATGATACACTTTAATATATAATATGGGTCAAAAACACTATAGTATTTGCTATAAATGACTAAAGTTTTTTTTAATGTGTGTGCTGAACATGCATGTACACTGACCGGCCACTTTATTAGGTACACCTGTCCAACTGCTTGCTAACACAAATTTCTAAACAGCCGATCACATGGCAGCAGCCTAATGCATTTAGGCTTGTAGGCGATCTGCTGCAGTTCAAACTGAGCATCAGAATAGGGAAGGAAGGTGATTAAGGTGACTTTAAAAATGGCATGGATGTTTGTGCCAGACGATCGAGCTGATAGAAAGCCAGCAGTAACTCAAATAAGCGTTCGTTACAACTGAGGTATGCAGAAGAGCATCTATGAATGCACAACACATCCAACCTTGAGGCGGATGGGCTACAGCAGCCGAAGACCACATCAGGTGCCACTCCTGTCAGCTAAGAACAGGGAACTGAAGCTACAATTCACACAGGCTAACTAAAATTGGACAATAAAAGATTGGAAAAAAGTTGCCAGGTCTGATGAGTCTCGATTTCTGCTGCGACATTTGGATGGTAGGGTCAGAATTTGGCGTCCACAACATGAAAGCATGGATCCATTCTATGCTTGGATCCATGTAATGATGTTGGGGGTATTTTCTTGGCTTATTTTGGGCTAATTAGTACCAATTGAGCATCATGTCAACGGCACAGCCTACCTGAGTATTGTTGCTGACCATGTCTATCCTTTTCTGAACACAGTGTACCCATCTTCTGATGGTTACTTCCAGCAGGATAACACATCATGTCATAAAGCACAAATCATCTCTGGTTTCTTGAACATGACAATGAGTTCACTGTACTCAAATGGCCTCCACAGTCCCCAGAACTCAACCCAATAGAGCACCTTTTGGATGTGGTGGAATGGGAGATTCACATCATCAAAGTGCAGCTGACAAATCTGCAGCAACTGCATGATGCTGTCATGTCAATATGGACCAAACTCTCTAAGGAATATTTCCAGTACCTTCTTGGATCTATATCACGAAGAATTAAGGCAGTTCTGCAGGCAAAAGGGTGTCCAACCTGGTACTAATAAGGTGTACCTAATAAAGTGGCCAGTGAGTGTATGTACTGCATATGCAAATTTTGCCCAGTAGTTTAGTGCCTTAAAGCTTGGAATGTTTTATAATGACCCTGGAATTGACTTTACATATAAATTAATTAAATGATGATGAAATACTTATTTGACAATTTGAAGACGCTTTCTTGTTTAGTTTATAAAATAGATACTCATTATATAAATAACTACAGTTGAAGTCAGAATTATTAGCCCCCCAGAATTTTTAGACCACTTGTTTATTTTTTCCCCAATTTCTGTTTAACGGAGAGCAAATTTTTTCAACACATTTCTAAACATAATAGTTTTAATAACTCATTTCTAATAACCATGATGACTGTAAATAATATTTTACTAGATATTTATAAAGACACTTCTATACAGCTTAAAGTGACATTTAAAGGCTTAACTAGGTTAATTAGGCAGGTTAGAATAATTAGGCAAGTTATTGTATAATGATGGTTTGTTCTGTGGATTATCGAGAAAAAATATAGCTTAAAGGGGCTAATAATTTTGTCCCTAAAATTGTGCTTAAAAAATTAAAAACTGCTTTTATTCTTGCCAAAATAAAACAAATAAGACTTTCTCCAGAAGAAAAAATATTATCAGACATACTGTGAAAATTTCCTTGCTCTGTTAAACATCATTTGGAAAATATTTAAAAAAGAAGAAATAAAATTGAAGGGGGCTAATAATTCTGACTTCAACTGTATATGATAATTAATGCGGACACATTCCACAAGTTCACATGGACTTCTTGACTTCTTCTGATCCAAATTATTATTTTTCGAATGACTAAAACAGTGCTCTGATACATGCTTCTATACAGTAGTTTCTACAGAAGATAAAACAATGGAGTTTATTGATAATTCAATCCACCAAAGAGTGTCTATTGTCTATTTATGTGTGTGAGACAGCGTGATCCACAGCACAAACACAATAAAAGATAAAAAGTACCCAGACGTAAGCAAAATCTGAACAAACCACCCTGCGGGGAAGCCCTCAAAAGAGAAAAACACAGGGTAAATAATGTCTTTATTCTCTTCTAAAAATGCCACAAGTCTTATTTTAGGCTTGGGGTTTAGTCTGCAGCAAATATAATCAGTGTAATTTATATAGCATCAGAAGAATAGAGGTGAATGGAGAGCTGAGCGTGTGGAGTGCTGAGTAAAGCAGCAGTGTGGGAAACCTCAAGCCTCCCTCAGGCCTCCACATCCCTGCTAACTCAACCCTCATGCTAACGCTGGCATCAACACTGTGCCACTCGCTCACTTTCTCCCACTTCTCTCTTTCTCTTTAGTTCTCAAAGTTGTCAGTTGTGCTCATAGTTAGCATACCCTGGGAGAAATTGTGATTTGTATGTACACAAATAATGCAATTACTTCTAATAATCAGAGTTAAGACTTAAAAGAAAACTCCACTTTTTATGGGGGGGAAATAGGCTCATCTTAAAACTCACCTATCAGTTGAGTTTTACCATTTTTGAGTCTGGCAGGAGCATTCCTAGCTTAGCATAAATAATTGAATCGGATTAGACATCTCACTCAAAAAAACTCTAAAAATTGCTTTGATAATATTCGTATTTAAAGCTTGACTCTTCTGTAATTACAATGTGTACTAAGACTGACAATAAATGAAAAGCTATTTTTAACACAAGGCTCATTGGGGATTTGTGCTTAGGGCTACATATTTGGCAAACTTCCAATTTGTGCCCTGGCATGCACATAGCTGCATTTTATGTGTAAAACGAAAGCTACGTTGTGGTATGCCGCCAACAACTTCTATTCCGTTCCACATTATACCACTGACCGATTACCTCCGGATGGACAGCTTTTCCAGTTTGGTCAGTTTGCTCTGTAGCTCACCTTGTATGACATTGGACTTGGGGCATGCAGCGGACTAGGGTTTGACTTTGGTAAAGGACAATTCCAGAAACCAGGTAAAAAACACTATTGGTATAGTATTTAGTATTAATAGTACAATAGTATTTGAATAGTACAATAGTATTTGAAAACAATATTGGTTGGGTTTAGGAAAGAGGGTGGGTGAGTCAGTCAATAGAAAGCTAATATATGATGCATGACAAGCTGTTCAGCTTCTCGCAGACAGCTGAGAAATGTGTATAAATGGCAAGTATGATTAGCGAACGTGACCCAGTAATGTATGGGACTTTGTCAAAAATGTAAATGGCAAATTCTAGTGGATTTTTGAAAATAAAAACCACAAGCTGATGTAGCCCTGAACACTTATTTCACAGTTTCCCAAAAAAAAAAAAAAAAAAAAAAAGTCTTAGCACATATCTCTATGTGATATGCACAATAAGCTGACTGATTACCTTCATATGGACAGCTTTTCCAGTGCGGTCAATTAGCTCGGTAGCTTACCTTGTATGAAATTGGATTTGGGACATGCAGTGGACTAGGGTTAGAGTCTAGTAAAGGACAGTTCTAGAAACCAGGTAAAACAAAAACAAACAAAAAAGCAAACCACTGTAAAAGCATACAGCCAAATATGTGACCCAGTAATTTAATTAAGATTGTCAAAAATGTAAACGTCCGCCTCTAGTGGATTTGAGAAAATAAAAACTACAAGCAGACATAGCCTGTATTTCACAGTTGCCAAAAATATAACTCTGAGCACATATCTCTATGTGCTATATGTGTTATACATGGACAATTACCTCCGTATGGATAGCTTTTAGTGTGGTCAGTTTGCTCTGTAGCTTACCTTGTATGACATTGGACTTGGAACATGCTATGGACAGCTTTCAGTGTGGTCAGTTTGCTCTTTAGCTTACCTTGTATGACATTGGACTTGGAACATGCAGTGGACTAGGGTTCGAGTCTGGTAAAAGACAGTTCCATAAATCAGGTAAAATGAAAAGCAAACCACTGTAAAAGCATACAGCTGGATATGTGGCCCAGTAATGTAATAAAGATTGTTAAAAATTCTAACGTCGACCTCTAGTGGGTTTGTAAAAACAAAAACTACAAGCAAATGTAGCCTTGGACATATTTTTCATAGTTCCCAAAAATATAGCCCTGGGCACGTAGCTCTATGTGATATATGCATCTGCTGACCCCAGTGCCGTCAATTTGCTCGGTAGCTCACCTTGTTTGACATTGGACTTGGTACAGTGGGCTAGGGTTTGAGTCTTGTAATGGACAGTTCCAGAAACCAGATAAAACAAACAAACAAACAAACAAAAAACAACGCATTAATAGCATATAGCCGCTATTTGCTTTTTCTTCTAGATTGCTTTTGAAAACACTGTTGGTTGGGTTTAGGGAAGGGGGTGGGTGGGTCAGTCAATAGGATGCTAATAAATCACGCATAACAAGCTCGACGGCTTCTCAAAGACAGGAGAGAAATCCGTATAAATGGCAAGTATGATGAGCAAACATGGCTCACTAGTGTGTTGAAAATGTATACAGCGACCTCTAGTGGATTTGTGAAAATAAAAACTACAAGCAGATTTAGCCCTGGGCACGTATTTCACAGTTCCCAAAAATATAGCCCTGGGCACATATCTCTATGTGCTATATGCACTATACACTGACCGATTACTTCCATATAAACAGTTTTTCCAGTGCAGTCAATATGCTCGGTAGCTCACCTTGTATGACATTGGACTTGGGACTTTGGGTCCTCATAGACAACTAATAGAAAAGACAGCACAATGTCATGATGTTAACGGGACAATACACAGTATAAAGAACTACAAGTGTGAAGACTTTAAACAGGGTCATTTTAAAAAAATACCATGTTTACTTTTGTAATCGCTCCATTCTGTACATTTCTACAGTTGAATAAGAGTCTTGAGTGTTTTGTCTGCTCAGTCATGTTCTCTTTCAGAAAAAGGGCACATATATTAATATTTTCCAGGGGTATGCAAACTTTTGACTGTCGGCCTCATAATGTTACCACTTTACCACAGTTCTCCCGCGACATGATTCAGCACGATGGTGAATAGTTACAAAATAATATTTGCACTTCTCACATGTTGCCTGTTTTCATTCTCAAGCCTCTCCAGTAAGACAAAGTGACATCGGTCCTCACTTGGATGCTTTCAGCTTATTTCAGATCTCTCGCAGCAGTCATGTCACTTTCTCTGATCTTCAGTCCAGCCCTCTGAATGCGGTTTACAGACACAACAGAACATAAATATGATGTCCAGACCAGAGGGATTAAAGACAGCTCAAATAAATCCATGGGTTTTGTCCAGTGCTATTTCTAGACGGCAAGTTCAACAATGTTAGGGCATCTGGTCATTTTGTATTCGAGTCTGGGTTGTTTTTCATGACGTGGCATGAGTTTGCATAACTGTGATTGCCGCTATAAAATAAAAAATCCTTTGGGAGCCATTGAACGGTCATAAACTAAAACATAAGATGGCCGAATAGCCAGTTTAACAGTGGCTAAACTGAACACAAAGGTGCTCTGTTGACTTTGATATTTTTCCCATTGCTCTTTTTGATGACCGGACTCTGTGTGTGTGTGTGTGCTCCTCTGTTCCTCCTGTTCCTCTCGCAGGGCCATGGCACTCATGCAGGTCTGCAAAGTAATCAGATTCTCATTAAGGTTTGTTTCTTCTCTGCTGCCCTAGCCTCCATCGAGCCGCCTTCGCTCAACGTCGCCTGAGATCTCGCTCCGTTTCCGTACTATCCCTCGATTTTCCACTGTCTTTTCTTCCTCCATGTATTTTCTGGGTCTTTTTCTGCACAGATGGTCTTTCCTCGCTACGATCATGGCTACATCTCGGCCGATCAGCCCAGTTTCCAGAGGCGTATGCTGAAGGTAGCATGTGTGCAAGGCATGTGCAGATTCTCCCCTTACTACACTGTAAATCTGTATCCGTAATTAAGAGTTTACGTATTTCTTGTGAAATTTTCCATTTATTTATGGTTGTGAATTGCATTATGGGAGCTTGATCTCTGCTCTGTTGACTTTTAATGTTGAAAATTCAATTCTACAGTTTAAAAAAGTGACTTTTATCGATGTTTTAGTTGTTTATAATGTGTAAGAAATAATATATAGAGAGATAAAGGAATGAATTCAAACAATATATCACTTTAAACTATTAAAAATGTTAATAAAAGTCACTTTTTTCAAACTTTTCAAAGTTAAAAGCTCTTGAAGAAAAGATCAAGCTCCCATAATGCATAAATAAATGGGGAAAATGTTATAAAAACATGAATCACATCATATGGAAAGCTGCAAATTTACGGATATTTTTTACGGTGTAGAGCTTCATCTTCCTCACTTCTGACTCATGTTGCGTGATCGCTTGTGTTATTGTTTGTGCCTCTCAATATTTACAATGCCATAATCCCATCCGTGTGTGAAATATCTGAGCGCTGCATGCAAGTCTGCTGCTTCGGTGAATGTGGCTGATCATGTTTTCCAGCACAGTCAGAAAAGTAGAAGTTATGGGAACACTTTACTTGAAGGGGTGCTTATAAAACTGTCATTAAACCTTTATAATCATGACATGACATGTTATAAATATGAATGATTTTATGTACGACAACTGTCATTAAGGTCCGCATGAACCAGAACATTTGTTTTTTTTTTTTCAAATTGAAACACAGTTCCTAGTAAAGCTGAATATTAAAATAGAAAAAGTGTATATATAAGGCAATGAAACTTTTGTTTTAATTCCACAAACTCAAGAATTTGTCCACTAAACTTGAACTTACCAGGGTAAAATCCCTACCTTGCTTTGCAACATTCCTCTGAAAATAGACTGGTGGCCAAAATTATGTCCAGTCCAGTTCTGCTACACATTTTGTATTATTGTTGCATTTCATTTAAAAAAAAAATCTTTTTAAAAGAAAACATGCATAATGAGGAATGTGATAGGGAATTGCTGCTTATCAAAACACATTAAATATTAATAACTGGCTATAATGTAGTCAAAGCATATTTCAGTCAAATAAATCGTATGGTCCGTGATATGCTATTAGCCTGTTTTGATTTTAAGCAAGTTCATTAAAAATCCATATTACTCAACCTCAAGTTCCATACCTTTACGTGTTTCTTTTTTATGTTGAACCTAAAGAAAAGTGGTACCCATTACCTTCCATAGCAGGAAAAATGAATACTATGAAAGTCAATGGTTAAAGTTTTCAAGCTTTCTCCAAAATATCTTCTTTAGTGTTCAGCAGAGTAGAAAGAAACTCAAACAGGTTTGTGACAAGTAAATGATTACAATATTTTCATTTTTGGGATTCAGATTTCTGCAGACTTTTAGCCCTTTATTGAGTCTTATTTACTGGTGTCAATTTATTCTAATTCAATTTTCAAAATAATTTTTGTAATACTATTGACTAATATGAAAATGTTTATTTGATTCATTTACAATACAGTTTCTAAAGTAATATTTTCTATAAGTAATGTTTTCCAGCCTGATCTCATGAGAAACCGTAACTTTTTTTTTGTTTACGTTTCGTCAATTTAATAGCTAATTCAGTCAGAAAATGTTCATTTAGTGAATATTTAGTGGCACTTAATTTTAATGCAATTTAGTGGCAAATTTAGTTGTATGAAAATGTACAATTTTAAAAAGAGGCGTGGCACCCAACCACACCCCTAACCCCTAATATCATTAGGGGATGAGCAAATCGTACTAAATCATGCAAATTAGCCACTAAATCAAAAAGTTACAAATCGGCATGAGATTGCTTTGGTCTTTCAGTAGATATATTATATGAGAGACTTGCTTTGTTTACCAAATAAGTGGATCTAATTGAATTTGCATTGTAAACATTAAATAAAAGTTAGATGTATTTTTTATTATTATTACACACATTTTGTTTTGTTTTTTAAGTTAGGATACTACCAAAATCATTATGCATAAATTCGCAGATTTTTTACAAAAAAAAAAACGATAAGAAATTTTACAAAAAACGTCTGCAGATTTTGTTTGGTCCCACTCATAGGTTACCATCGCTAAACACCCCAGGTTTAGAAACGTTTTACACTTATTTATTCAAAATCTCTGCCTTATTTCTTCTCTTCATTCCATCGAGGGCAGACATCCATTCCAATCCAAGTAAAAACATAAAAGCCGAAGACCTTCGTCATTGTACACACTGGAGTGTAATTCTAACCGAAACCAGAACTGATGCTGTTTTTCATGTCTAAAACTGTAAAGCTGCTTGCTTTAAACTAATCTACCGTATAATGTGCTGTATAAATAAACGTGACATGACGTGAGTGCCAAATTCCCAAACATCAGGATTGCTATTATAAGCTGCTTTTTTAACTGCTGTAAGTTCCCACATGACAAAATACTACAGTAATGTATAATAAATACTGTGTTTTTAAACTACACAGTGTACATTATAGTCTTTGTTAATTAATGCTACAGCTTACTTCTATGAACTGATAAAATATCATAAATACTGCAGTATACTTTAGTTTTTACTACAGTAAACCATGGTGTATTGTAGTGTAAATTATATAATTAACTAAATACAGTGTTGGGTAATTTGTTTAAGTTAGTTGTTGGATTACCTGTAAAATCAGATTAATTCAAGCGCTTTAATATGATTAAAAAGCACTAAAGTATTTATTATAAATTACTATGGTATTTTTTCATATGGGTGAACTTTGATGTTTTGGATTGGTTCTCCTTTAATCTCCTTTCAACTTTCACTAAAAAGTAATTGTGAAGATATTTGAGCCTTGAACTAGTGCCAAACATATTTAGTGTGAAATATTTAGTATATTTCATATTAATATTTCATATTTAGTGTGCAAAAGAAGGTAATGATTCACACTCAATTGCTTCATGCTGTTTTTATTCTTACTTTTTCTTACATTTTACGGGTGATAACAATATTAATATATTTAGTGTGCAGAAATTTGACAATTTTAAGCACATCATTAAATCTCTTTATTTACTTATGTAAATGTGTGTAAATATGTTTTTCATATTAATTTCAGTGACATTATTAACTAATATGCAAGTTTTTATGTAATTTATTTATAAAGCAGTGTGTTAAAGTATTAGTTTCTGTCATTTAGTAGATATATTATGTGAGAGACTTGCTTTGTTCACCATCAAGTGAATTAAATTAGATTTGCATAGTAAACCCTAATTAAAAGTATAAAGTTTATTATTTTTATTTCATGTTTTAAGCTTTTAGCTGCTATACTGCCAAAATCATCCCGCATATATCTGCTGATTTATTAATTAATTAATTAATTAATTTATTTATTTATTTATTTTTCACAAAATTCTGCTCCGAAATAGCATGAAATGTCGGTAGATTCTGTCTGGCCCTAGTTACAATGTTATGGCTTGATGCTTGGCAACCAGCAGCCAATCACATCCCTCATATTTACATGCTTTCTCACACACACACACAAAAAATGGTGACTTTATGTAAATTTGATCATTTTTATTATGTTAAGATTTTATCATTTCAATTGTAAAAAAAAGCCTTAGATATTGCGGATAAACCTCAGAAATATCGAATAAAATATCAAATCAAACATGGAATTATGTCGTTTTTTTCTTATAAAATGTACTCCAATAAACTTTTCTCCATTCCTGAAGTGTAAAAACATAAATAAAGTACTTATTTATGAACTACTATTATATAAATCAAATTACTTATATAAATAAACAACAAATAAAATTCACTTTTTCTTCTAGTTCTTGTTTTTGTCTTTTTCTGTTGAAGACTTTATTCTGTATCACATGTCTGTATGTTTTCATCAGGGTGATCAAGGACAAGCTGGCCCACCTGGACCTCCAGGCCCTCCTGGAGCACCCGGTGCACGAGGACCCCCAGGAAACACGGGGAAGGATGGTCCCCGTGGCCCACAAGGAGAGCAAGTAAGGACCTCCGAGTATTTTTACATGCCTGATTTGCGTTCTAATATGCGCAACCCAGGCTCAATACGAATATGTACCCAGGTCTAAATTTCTGGGGACAGCAAAATTCGTAACTGGAGGTACGTCTGCTCACAGGTTTTGTTTTTGCGAATCCACCAGAGGCCACCGTGTATGCTTTTTGATGATCTCAAATTTCTCTTGCTAGTCCTCTTCTCGTGTAAATCCACCAAGGGCACAATATACACTTCAGCCGACCAGGCAAGCTTGCTACTGGCTGACTGACTAACCCTAATCCCTAAACCCAACCAATAGTGTTTTCAAAAGCAATCTAGTAAAATAAAATTGTAACAGCCGTGTGATTTCACCATGTTTTCAGGCTTTTTTTCTATTATTCATTTATTATTTGCATTTGTTTTACCTGGTTTCTGGAACCATTTTTGCCTAATTCTAACCCCACCGTCGCGGTTAGCTTAGCTCCTCGTTCCATGTTCTCCACTTTCCTTACTAATATGCAATTCCCTCTCTGACTCCTCCACTAACTACAATAATAATAATAATAATAATTGTACTAATGTTTTGCTTCTTACACTGTCTTTACACACCTGAAACTTGCCTACAGCACTTATTCATTGTTGATCTTATAGTTGTGTAAATTGCTTCCTTGTCCTCATTTGTAAGTCGCTTTGGATAAAACGTCTGCTAAGTGACTAAATGTAAATGTAAGTTCACTGGGCAAACTAACGACACTGGAAAAGCTGTCAGTAGGGAGGTAAGCGGTCAGCTGGTAGTGCTAAAAGAAACAGAAGTCATCTATGGCATCATACCGCCCCGTAGTGTTCGTTTTAAAGACGAAATGCAGCCATAGGTAGCTCTGGCTACAAAATTCGCGCTCTCCAATAATGTAAACTGGGGTACATATCCACAATGAGCCTGTGTTGAATATGCGAGCAGAATCATTGTTAAAGGTTACTGCATTTTACATTGAATCCAATGACATTTTTTGTGAATTGTGTTAAATCCTATGTGGGATGTTATATCCTAAGTTTGATCTGTACCCCCCAAAAAAGTAATATGAGGGTTAAATTCCCCTCTTCAGCAAAATGTAAACCACAAAAATCATAAACATAAAAACTAATAAGTCTTTACTGGAAAATGCACTTGATTTCAGTCCATTCAAAGCAAACTGGGAATTACAGATCTTATAAAACCATAAATCCTCTTCAATCTGAGGCATAAAATATAATAATGTTTACTAGAGTTTTAGTCTTTACTGTTCCTTGGTGATGGAATGATCTACCAAACCTGAAATCAGGGTTTCTGTAGGTCAAATTAATTTTTTTGTATAAAATTTCAGACTTATACATTACTTAACCTAAGGATTTTTACTTGTCTCATTAAAAAAATCGAATTACTTGAAAAACTGTGTGGAGTTTGCATGTTTTCCCCGTGTTGGCGTGGGTTTCCTCTGGGTAATCCGGTTTCCCCCACAGTCCAAAGACATGCGTGAATTGCACAAACTAAATTGTCCATGGTGTATGAGTGTGTGTGTAAATGAGAAAGTGTATGGGTGTTTCCCCAATACTAGGTTGCGACTGAAAGGGCATCCGCTGCATAAAACATATGTTGGAATAGTTGGTGGTTCTCTCCGCTGTGGTGACCTCTGAACTAGAGACTAATTTCTGTTTGACGGAAAAAAAAAATTTCAACACAATTCTAAGCATACTAGTTTTAATAACTTATGTCTAAAAACTGATTTATTTTTTCTTGACATACATAATATTGTACTGTGTGGAGTTTGCATGTTTTCCCCGTGTTGGCGTGGGTTTCCTCTGGGTGCTCCGGTTTCCCCACAGTCCAAAGACATGCGTTAGGTGAATTGCACAAACTAAATTGTCCATGGTGTATGAGTGTGTGTGTAAATGAGAAAGTGTATGGGTGTTTCCCCAATACTAGGTTGCGACTGAAAGGGTATCCGCTGCATAAAACATATGTTGGAATAGTTGGTGGTTCTCTCCGCTGTGGTGACCTCTGAACTAGAGACTAAGCTGTAAGAAAATGAATGAATGATTGAAAAATTATGTTGGAAATAAGTAAATCAAATCCAATAAATTGAAGTGGACTGAACAAGAAAAACTGCTACTTAAGTTCATTTCATCAAGTAATTTGAACAAGCTGCAAAGTTCTTTGTTTGTATTTGAGTGCGCACCAAGGGGGGCACCTTTTACCCAAAATGGGCCTTAAATGTACAATTGGATTTATTACGTGAAGCTGTTTTTGTAGTACAGCAGCCTGTGGTGTATAAGAGTTGTACTTTAAAGGTTAAAGGCATTAGCATTGCTCTGCTCTGGCCTCAGTCATCTGACGGTTGTGTTTTGCTCAGCCAGGGGTGATGGAGAGAGAGAGGTTAAAGGGGAACGGGGCAAATCCAGTCCATCATATCCCCCGGCAGGGCGTTTGAAAAGCAAAGCAAATGCCAGTGTGCTGCGACCCACCTAAAGCTAAACCAAATATAGTTTTTAAAGCTCAAGACTCATCTGGTTCGGTTAAGACACGGACACTGTTTGTTCATTACCAGATCTACTGTTCCTGAATGTCCCAAAAAGAGATTTAAAAAAGCCCCCCCTGTATATTTTTTCCTCAATTTCTGTTTGACGGAAAAAAAAATTTTCAACACATTTCTAAGCATACTAGTTTTAATAACTTATGTCTAAAAACTGATTTATTTTTTTTTGACATACATAATATTTTACGAGATATTTTTTAAGATATTAGTATTCAGCTTAAAGTGTCATTTAAAGGCTTAACTAGATTAATTGGACAAGTTATGGTATTTAGGCAAATCGAAAAAAATATAGTTTAACGAAGGCCAGCTAGTAAGTGCTGTGCAGGTAAACCTCATTAACGCTAGGGGCCATGGTTCTAGCCACAGATGCTAGAAGCCATCGTCTTTAGCCTCCTTGTTAGAGCGATTCCCATGTGGATGGTTGCCGGTTCGATACCAGCTTAAAGCGGAATAAAACAAATAAGACTTTCTTCTAAAGAAAAATTATTGTAGAAAATACTGTGAAAAATTCCTTGCTCTGTTAAACATCAGTTGGGAAATATATATATATATATATATATATATATATATATATATATATATATATATATATATATATATATATATATATATATATATATGAAAGAAAAGAAAGAAGAAAAGAAAAGAAAGAAAGCGCACTAATAATTCTGACTTTAACTGTTTGTTTCCATCATTAGGTGCTTAAAATGAAGTTAATATTTTTTTAATTTATCATTAAAACAGATTTTCTTGGACTAAGTGTGGACTAGGGCTGCGGATTTAATCAAAATTCAATCGCAATCGCGATTTGAAACGTTGCAGTTAGCTAATCGCTAATTGGCTGTGATATGTTATATTTAATTTCCCCCGCCCAGAGCAAATGCGTGACTGCTGTCTTTGTGTGATAATCTTATGGCCTGTTTCCACTGAGTGGTATGGTATGGTTCGGTTTGGTACGCTTTTATGGTTGTTTCCTATGTCAAAAGGTACCTAAAAGCGAATCATACCGTGCCACTTTTTGGGTACCCTTTGCAAAGGGTACCTAACCCGACAAAAGGGTATCAAAAGGCGGAGCTAGACACGGTGCTAAATGCTATTGGTTTACAGAGATCCGTCACTCGCTCGTAAACAAGCCAGTATGAAAACAAAGCAACTGCCATGTTTTAAATTCACAGTCGAGATATTACACCATAATAATATATACATATAACAAGCCATGGTTGAGTTGAGCTCAAACAAACCATGTCGCCGTCTTGATGAACAGCTACAAAGCCAAGAAGAAGAGCAGAATCTACTCTGTGCCCTGTAGTTTTTTATGAAAAAAACGTTCTCGATTGGGCTCGCGTGCAAGTCTATATTTGAAATAACGAACTTCTTCAGCTGATAATAATAACGTGCGCTTGATTATTGAAGTGCTTCTGACATCCGATTCTGTCAGAAACAAACGCGAGAGTGAAGCGCGAAAAAACAAAGAAGCCGGAAAAAACTAAGGAGCCAATGATTTTTTCAACAAACATGAACAAACTGCCATGTTTAACTATTACCATCACCTTCTGGACTATTATAAAGTGGGAATGATGGAATTACTTTCTAACATGTGCTGTTGAAGAGTATGATACAGATGAGAGGTTTGCACTGACAGGGCTATATGTTGCATTTAGTTTTTCTGTAACTGGTAACATATTGAAGACTGTAAGGGGTTTTATGTGTTCATATATGTTGCATTTTTTATTTATTTTATATAACTGCAGACACTACAGTAGGCTATTTTGCATCAATGATCTGCAGTTATAATTAAATCATGTTCATAGAAAAGTAAGTCATGAACATTTATACACAAGTATATATGTGTATAAAGCATCTGTTTTGTGAGAAGTGCTTCTCATATGATATGTGAATGACCCATTCAGCTTTACTGTGGACATTTTCTAGAGCGAGAATGACATCGACTGAAAGTATCTGTCGTACACCACACCCACCAAAAGGGTACCATTGTTACCCTTTTAGCAGTAAAAATGCAAGCCTGATAAAGGTGACCCATACCGAGCCGTACCAGACCGTACCACTCAGTTGAAATGGGCCATTACTAGCCAATTTAGAGAGCACACTTTTGTTCTATTCAACCGAACTATATAGAATGCCCACGATAAAAACAACAACAAAAACAAACAAACAAGAAAGCGCTTACGAGTGGGATGATAGCATTCGCCACTTCTGAAGCATAATAGATGAATTAATGTTAAAGAAATACAGGACATCGGGAATATGAGAATATTTTAGTTTCAAAGTCACAGACACTGACCAAAAACAGGTAATTTGTAAGAATAGTTGCCACCACACAATAACCAGCACCTAAAAAAGCACCACAGGCAGCTATAAGGGGGTCTTGCTAAAAAGTCAATTGAAAATATTGCCAGTGAAACTCAATCTAGTAGCA